ATCAGGACCTGAAGCAGTGCAGTGAGGCACTCGAGGCGGAAAGCAAGAAGTTCGCGGCGTTGAATGACGCCTACAACCAAACCGTGGCCACCCTCAGCAAATGCAATGACGAGCTAAAGAAGGTCCGACAGGAGGCAATTGAGTTGCGTTTCTATAACACTCAAGGCGGCCAAGAATTGCAACAGAGCAAGCGAGAGGTGGAGCACCTCAAGCAGCAGCTAAACGACTGTCAGCAGGAGTCTGCGAACATCATGCATCAGCTGAAGCATTTCCAAGAGACGGCCGGGAACCAGCAGCCAGTGGCAGCTGAAGTCAGATACTGGAAAGACCGAACAGATGCTCTCTCGATTGAAATGGCGAATCTGCGTCGCGAGAACCTCGAGGCCAATGGAAAACTTGGAAAAGTCCAGGACAACTTCAAAAAAGGCCAAAAGCAATATCATCGCCTGAAGGAAGACCTCACGCAGCGACTAGATGCGAGAGAGGAAGCCTACAAGGCCCTCGAGAAACAATTGAAAGCTGAGTGCGAAGCACGCGACAGAGACAATCAGGAAAATCCCCAAGTCAAAAGCCTGGAGGCACAGGTCACGTCAAGGGACATGGAGATTCTGGAGCTGAGAAAAGAATTGGTCGAGTCGGCTTTCCAAGCTGCAAAAAGCACGCCAAAGTCAGGCGCTCTAGGCTCTGACCCCTTTGTTGCGACACTCCCCAAGCCTGACATTCATAAAATTCTCGCCAACAAGGAGCAGATGATAAAACAACTTGTTATCACGAAAGGTCAGTATGAGAAAAGACTCGAGGTTCAGGACGACGCTTACAAGAAACTCTTGGAGTCCAATACTAAACTGGAAAGCAAAGTCGCGTCGCAAGTCCAGGAACTCGAGAACCTTTCGAAGAGCAAGGACGAACTCGAGAAGGAAAAACTGAGGTTGGAGGAAGAGAACAAGAAGCTTGAGAAAGATCTGTCCGAGGAGGCCATGGACCATGCTTTCGACACCGAGTTCTATGAAGAAGGCAGAAAATTCTGTGATATAGCCGAAAAGAAGGCTAAAAAGCTGGAGACGCAGCTTGACGAAGTGCAGGCGTCGTTCCAGAACATGCAACTCGACTTGAAGTTGAAGGAGAACCAAGTGGACGCAGCCCGCATGCAAGCAGATCTGTACAAGGAACAGGCACAAAATATCCAAGGCCAACAGGAACCGAGCACGCAGCATGCCAATCCACAGACACCGAAGCCTCGACCTCAGAAGCGTACCGTCAGCGGAATGGACGAAGATGGAGAACCGGATCAGGGCCAGAGCACAAAGAAGAAGATCTTGACCCCCCGCAATTACCATGGAACCCTGCTGTCGAACCGACTTCGCCAGGCACAAGGAGCTCAGGGATCTCAGCGACCGCAACCTTCGGCATTCTCACGCCTCCAGACGCGGCTCCTTTCTTCGCCTCTCCAGGCACAGGCGAATCAGCCTACTCAATCGCCGATACTCCAACAGCTCCAGCCGCAGATATCAAGTCCAATAATATCACGTCTTCAAGCGCAGGCAAGCCAGGCCACACAAGCGCCGGTCTTTGAGCCTCAACAAGCGCAGGCAACTCCCCCGTCGCAGGCGTCGGTCTACGAATTTGACCCGCCGCGGCAAGTAAACCCGCTATTCCCACGTGTCCCAGCGCAGGCAACTCAGGCCGCACCGTCACAGAACGAGACTGGGCAACAAGCTGAAGTGACCATGGACGACTCATCCATCATCTCCGAAGAAGAGTAAAGAGTGACGCACAGCAAAGCGCACACACGATCCAGTCAGGTCATAGACTAGATATTTCACAAATCACGAAACATGAAACCATGCGAAAGAAAAGGAGTCAAAACAGACTCAGTGGAGGATCAATTGGGAACACAAAGGAATCTTGCAGTCGACAAAGACATGCAAGCGAGCAAGCGAACAACAAGACGTTCAAAGAAAGGAACTGGCATGGGGTCAAGGGAAATCAGATAGCACACACACACACACACAAAAGAAAAGAGTCAGGACGGACTCGGTGGAGGATTTTATGGGGAAGTCGGAATCAAGGGATCGACAGGGCTGGCGAATTTGCAAATGGTGATTCAAGGAAACGACTGTATGAGAAGTGAGTCGGGACGGACTCGGTGGAGGATTTCATGGGTTCATGGCGGCTATGCGGGATCACACACAAAAACACATTGTCAGAGTCAGAAATCACAAAAGGGCGCAAAAGCAAGTGGCATTGATTAATTGAATTCAGAGAGGATTCGCAAGCGCAGGCAAATCACAAGGAGCGGTCGGTCGGGGAGAATGATGGCTGCGAGAATGTCCTGCGATGTGCTGATGAGAGCGAGAAAATGAAACTTTTTGATCAATCCATGACCTTTCTGCTCTTTCTCGCGCGTAGTTCGTTCTGCGTAGGAGATGTAGACGATGACCTGAGGTTGTGCGCAGGCAGATTCTGAAGCACTGCGCCAGACTTACAAACTAGCAAGTAGCCTCACTGGGGGAGTTTCGAAGGCCAAAAGCCCAAGATCCCAAATCCTGTCCACGAGTGTCAAGACTCATGCGTTTGACTCGAAATGATTTCGATTCTCGAGTTGCACTCATCCATTCACAAGCCAGGGTGTAAATGTATCCGGATATCCCTTCATTTGGTCATTTCTTTTCCAGTTTTGCAGCCCGTCAATCAATCCTCCATGTCCCCTGCAGGTGTCTTTTATTTACTTTCCAAACCCGCCCTCGAAATCTCCCCTGGTGACCCTCTCCAGATTAATCGCCGCAGACACATACGCCAAGTGACTAAACGCCTGGGGCGTGTTGCCCAGCTGTTCGCCTGAGAGGGCGATTTCTTCGCTCAACATGCCTAGAGCACACATACTCAGCCGAGCTTCATCAAGGAGGAGGAAAGGTCAACGCAGTGGAAAACTTACCAACGTGGTTGCGAAAGTTTGTGACTGTTTCGAACATGGATTGGGCGCGCTCGAGGTACTTGGGGTCGTATTTTGCGGCGCGGATGAGCGATTCGATCAGCCAGAGCGTGCACATTACGAATGTGCCTTCGCGGCCGCCGACGCCTGCGCAACAGTCATTGGATTGGGGTCAGTGACGATGTGTTGATGATTGAGGCGGTGGGCAGGGATAAAGCCAGGGTGCAGGACAAAGAGGGTGGGCAGGGATAAAGATAGTGCGTGGGGCAAAGACAGTGAGCAGGCATAAAGACGTGTGTAGGAACAAAGAAGAGTAGGCTAGGTTTACAGGATACTAGTACTCACCATCATCGGTCTGCTCATGATCATATCGAAACACGAACCCGGCGCTCGTAAGTCCACCCTTTTCCGGCGTCCTCAATATCCGATCCAACGTGCCCACAAACTGCGGATCATTCGGACTCATGAAAAACACCAAAGGCGCAATCAACACGGCAGAATCCAAAGTCGTATTCGACTCGTAACTCTGCACGAAGCTATTCATCTGGTAGTTGAACCCCTTCTGCATCACCTCCTCGTATATCGTGTCTCTCGTCTCCAGCCACTTGTTGCGGTTGGGACATGGGAAGTTCCGCTTCTCGGAGAGACGAAGGGCGCGATCCACAGCGACCCACAGCAGGATTTTGGAATACGTGAATTGTTGCTTGCGGCCCCGAACCTCCCATATGGACATGTCGGGTTCGGTCCAAACCTCGCAGATGAAGTCGGTGAGATAGCGGATGTCGCGCCATTGGGCGTACGAGATGGGTTTGCCGTGCTTGTTATACAGGTAGATGGAGTCCATGAGTTCGCCATAGATGTCAAGTTGGACGTGGTCGGTGGCGGCGTTGCCGATGCGGACTGGAGTGCTGTCTTGATACCCACTGAGATGGTCGAGTGTGAGTTCAGGCAGGCATGTGGAGCCGTTAATGCCGAACATCAGAGGAAGGTGCTGCGTCTCTCCAGCAGACGCCGCCTCGGCCTTTTTGCGCCATTCCGCAATGCGGGCGAAGATGAAGTTGATATATGCTTCCGCCTCTGCGGGAAAGCCCATCTTGAGGAACACATAGACCGTGAAGCTCGAGTCCCGGACCCAGGAGTAGCGGTAGTCCCAGTTCCGCGGTCCGCCGATGGCCTCTGGGAAAGAAAAGGTTGGCGCCGCGACAATTGCGCCTGTAGGGTCGTATGTCAGGAGTTTGAGGATGAGCATACTCCTCTCGACTTCTTGCTGGAAGCGTCCGCGGTATAGGCACGCCCTCACCCAGCTTGTCCAGAACTTGTAGGAGTCGTTCTCAAGACTCATCACAAGGTCTTTTGTGAGATGTGGAGCCACATGACGATTGCACATGATCATGAATATTTGTTGGCCTTCCTGGAGATCGAAGCGAGCCCGGAAGGATCGCGTTCTGCTGTCGCTGGTAGCAGATTCGCCGAGCTTGAAGGGCTGGAACATCTTGGGTGGTGAGCTAATCGGCCGGTCGTGTGTGCAGTATGTGGCGTGGAATTCTGGGATGTCTGAGGATCCTTCTCGATCCTTGTCATCGGGAGTCCAAGTAAGAGTCTGGCGGTATATGCCGTCCTCGCCCTTGACATCCGTGGCTCGCATAGAACCCTGATCACGAGCATAATCCGGGCGGGGAGACAGTTCAATGTCGATGGACATCTTGCCCCGGACGCACTCCACCTTCCTCACCAAGGTCGACCCGCTCCATTTCTCTCGCAGCACTTTGTTATGCTTCGACACGGCAAAGAAGTCTGTGAGATCGACCACGCCGTCTTCATCAATCCATTTCGTTTGGAGAAGGTTGGAGGATGCTCGGTAGTTCTGTTTAGAGACTGAACTGCTCTGCGGGCTGATCTTCCAATGCCCTCCCCCACCTTCGGTTGTATCAAGCACATTGGCAAAGATGGAAGGGGAATCGAAGTGAGGCCAGCACATGAAGTCAAGGCTCCCATTCTTTCCAACTAGGGCGCACGTTCGCATGTCCCCAATGAGCCCATAGTCTTCAATCTGGAGGGGTTTTCCTTGTCGAGCCATTTCGCCCATGATGAAACAACTGGCTATGAGATCTCAAAAAGAATTGCAGAGAAAGGACAGAGGTGGCAGGGTACCAGGCTGGGGAGGAATCTGGGGGAAGCTTCGACGTCGAGGGTTTCACGTCGGATCACGGGAACATACAAAAAGAGACGAATACGGATGACTAAGGAAGAGGGAGAGAAGAGTAGCAGATGTTGAGGCCCAATCCAGACCCGAGGTACCTAGTATTTTCCCGATTCATCAATTCGATACTTGTCAGCCACTGATCGGTCACTGATGTCACCCACACGCTGGATGAAGTAATCTATCAATCTTGGAGTTGGTTGTGGAGTTCAAACCAGCTTTCTTATCTGATTCGAGATGGTCTTTGATAGACACTAGCAGCGGTCCGGATAAACTGCTCCGACGCTAATAAATAGAATCACGTGCTTCTCTAACTGCTCTAACGGGGACTACTAATATTATGGGGCCGCATTCAGTTGCGCTGACACCAAATCTCCATATTATCACCCCTGTTTCTCGATCAACGGCAACCCTCATTCATCCCAAGCCGTCATCTTGGACCTTTCGTCCTTCTCCATACCCGCTGTACCTTCGCAGTTGTTCTCATCTCCTTCTTGCTCTTGCCTTAGACTTCAGGCTACCAGTCATTCGTTCATACTCGCCGCTCTTTCCGTCCAGTGTCATCTTTCCAATGACTTGAATCCCCCCTTCCGCGTGCTCACTTCGCTGCCCTGTCTCACATCCTGTCCATGGATACCACGCCCTACAGTGACCACGCTTCAAGGCCTTCTTTCACCGCTCCGCCGACGACTCCCACTGGCAAGAACTCTCCGTTCATAAATCCTCGTCGTAAGTACAAACGGCGAGGTACTGGCTCCATCTCCGACACCAAAAGCGAAGGCTCAGAAGATGAGGCAGGTTCCTCCATGTCAGAATCCGAAGAACACGAATTAGGGCTGTTGGAATCAGATGTGGATGCCGACGATGACGGAGAAAGCGGGTTGAACAAACATGAAAGACGCAAATATCTCAAAGGAAAGAGGCGGCGTGATGGACTCGATGCGAGGATCGCTGGTACAACAGGCATATCCGAGGATGAGGCGCGGGAGGCCGACAAAAATGTCGTCCGCAACCTGGTCATCAATGCCGTCCTCATCGGCCTGTGGTATTTCTTCTCTCTGGCCATATCCATTGTGAGTCTGAAGTTATCGATTTCTGCAAGCCACTGACAATTTTGGCAGTACAATAAGATGATGTTCTCATCCGATCACCTCGATTTCCACTTTCCGCTCTTCGCAACCTCGTTACACATGGTCGTTCAATTCATCTTGGCCTCATGCATCCTTTTGATATTCCCCTCCTTACGACCGTCGCAGCCTCATTCGCAGATATATGGAAACGAAGCACAGCCCTCCAAACCGCTAGTCACCCCTCTATTCTATTTCACCCGACTAGTGCCCACTGGGACGACGACATCCCTCGACATTGGCCTGGGCAACACCTCACTTCGCTTCATCACCTTAACATTCTACACCATGTGTAAATCCTCAGTCTTGATCTTCGTTCTTGTGTTCGCCTTCCTCTTCCGGCTGGAAAAGCCCTCTCTCAAACTAATACTCATCATCCTCACCATGACCTTTGGAGTTCTCATGATGGTGGCCGGCGAAACGGCTTTTCATGCTCTCGGCTTCGCGTTGGCCATGTCCGCATCCTTCTTTTCAGGCTTCCGATGGGCCTTGACTCAAATCCTTCTTCTCCGCCATCCTGCAACCTCCAATCCATTTGCCACGATGTTTTTCATCGCTCCCATCATGTTTGTCACGCTGTTCTTCATAGCATGCGTCTCCGAAACCCCACCCGCTGTCATCACAGGCATTACCCTCCTGGTTAGGGAACACGGGATCGTCAAAGCTCTGCTTCTGTTGGTTGTTCCGGGATGCATTGCGTTCTGCATGATCGCAAGCGAGTTCACTTTACTCCAACGCACCAGTGTCGTCACCCTCAGTATCTGTGGCATCTTCAAAGAAGTGGTTACCATTAGTGCCGCGGGCATTGTGTTCCATGACGAGCTGTCTATGGTTAACATTACTGGGTTGATCATCACAATCATCAGCATTGCCAGCTACAACTACTTGAAGATTGTCAAAATGAGGGAAGAGGCGAGGGAGAAGCTGAAGAAGAAGGATGAGGAGCAGTATCGCGAGTTGGATGATGAAGATGATGATGAGGTCAGCAATACTGCAGCGGCAGATTTCACGTCACTCCATGATGCCAATAATGCAGCACGCGACCTTACGGGCTCTGGCTCAGGTTCGAGATCCGAACCCATTCCGAACAGCGCTCTGGGTCCGTCAGCGAAGAGAAAGGAAAACATAGAATAGAGATCTTGTTCACTCAGCTTGTGATTTGATAAGGTATGTTTGGGAAAAGTGATGTTGGGGGCTGCGAATGTCCGCGTCCTCGAGTGATGGGTTCAGGCGGTGTTTTAGACCGCTAAATTGCAATCCAATCCAACCTACTGAATGCCACAAAATTCCTCATTCCTGCCATTCCTGCCCCTTCAAACCAACAGTGCTCGTTATTCCTCCTTACTCACCGGAGAGAGAGATACGTCTCCCCAATCCGGCGATATGATAAGCCAACGCGAGCACTTCCCGTTGCCTAGTCCCGCCGACTGCTCAATAGCGATAAGGGCGCTAGTAGACAATATATATCGCCATATAGTGTATTGGGGTGAGTCGTGCTGAAATCTGGAGCTTCGCAAAGGCTATGCCTTAGGCTGTACATGTGTACAGAATAGATTTGGACGCTGTGATTGGCTGGCGCACGCAGGCGCGCTGGAATACCTCTTCCTCGTTGTTAGTGCTAGCAGGACAGTTAACTTAGCAATCAATCAATCACTCAATCAATTAGTTGTACGGATATCTACCTGTTCGGCTGTGTTGTTGTTGTTGTTGGTGGTTGTGTTGTGTATATACAGCTCCCCCTACCCACGTACGAGTTGGCTCCCCATGGCCTTGAAGCCTCACCCCAGTTCAATAGTAGCTAGTAATTAGTAGTCTAAATTAGGTCGATTAATAAGCTTACTATATAGGTTATCAGTAAAGTAAAGTTAGACTATAGCTAGGCTATTATCGTTATAATTACTAGGTATAATAGTAATATCGTCGAGTTCGTTAAAAGAGAACGGCCAACGATTCTCGACTAGTATTAAGACAATATCTCTCTACCTTGTAACTTCCATACGAAACTGAAACTGAGGTGAAACTGCGAAAGGTATAGCGTGACGGTCAGGTCCATTGTCGATGATCAATATCACTTTTCTAAATGCCTTTTTACCTTGACTTGAAGCCCGGTCTGCTTATTGAACCAAAAGTCGCTTGTTCTCCATCCATTCTCTGGGTTGATAAGCTCTAGGTCAAATTGCCGTAGGACCGAAGGTATCAGTTTGTGCAACTCACTGAGCGAGATCTAGAGGCAACCTTTAGGATGTAGATGGGACAAAATGAGGTGATAACGTACGTTCTTGCCAATACAAGTCCTTGTTCCGGCTCCAAAGTTCAGCATGCAACGGTCCATATTCTTATCATTGTCTTCAAGCCACCGTTCGGGAATGAACTCATCAGGGTATTCTCCAAAGATGAGTGGATTGCGTTGTACCACAGCTGCATTCATTCCGACTCTGTAGCCTTCTGGGATGTGGTAATCACCCAGAACCAACCCGCCTCTCGGTGTATGGCGGGGCATGGTAAGCCCAACGCTCGGGTGTAATCGCATTGCTTCCTTGATGCAAGCGCAGAGGAACGGTAACTCAAGGGCTTCGGCATACTTTACTGGTGAACTGATTTTTCCGTTGGCGGCTGCATCATCTAGTTCGACTTGAAGCTTTCGGTAGGCCTGTGGAGTGTTCATCAGGTAGTAAAAGATGGCCCGCATTGCGATGGCTGTAGTATCCGAGCCGGCAAACCTTTGGCAGGAAAAGGTTAGCAAAGGTAGACAGCAGTGATGGCACAAAACTCCTTACAAGGCAACATATGCTTCGAACTCGACTTCATGCACACCAAATTCGACCTCATCGGCCTTCTTTTGTGAGATTTCAAGCAACTGCTGGAGGATATCTCGCCGAAGGATAGGATTTCCTGCCGAAACACCTTCAAGCCTTTTAGCGACGCACTGTCTTGCTGCCGCCGCGATATGATCGATGGCTTTCAGAGCTTTCCGTACATTGGAACTAAAAATTGCCGAGCCGAGGATGAAAGGCCTCGTATATGCAGGAGCAATTCCGCTCAGGCAGAGCACTGGCATTAGTGTGTCGAGAGAAGTAATGTAGTTGCCATAATCAGAGGCGTTCTCCATGAATCCGAACATCCCCCCGAAATAAAGTTCGCCAATGACATCGAAAGCATACCTAGGAACGGAGACATTAGAGATAAACAACGATAGAGAAGTTCCCTGGGACTGTGCACTTGCCATTGAAGCCACTCTCCAAGATCAAACGATCTTCCAGAATTGGCAAATTCCTCTAATCGTTCCATGAAGAGTCTTGAACAGGTATCAATATATCCCTCAGACTGTAGTATGTTCGAGAGGCTGTATATGTGATTCACGATCCGCCTCCTCTTGGCGTGAAGCTTCTCGTCCGTGACGCTGAAGTGGTCGGGGTATTTCGAGAAGGATTTGTTCCACCAGACCGAATAGAAGTCAGTCTTCGTCAGGGGGCCCTGTGTGCGATAGAGCTTTTTGATGGCCTCCGGGTCTGAGCAGGCGCATTCATCTGGAGCAATTCTGACCAAAGTTCCGTACTTTTGGTGAAGGCGTCGCTGCGTGAAGTCCATATCCCCACGCCAAGTGTAAAAGAGAATCCAGAATCTGCTGACAGAAGCAAGCCAGGGCCCGGGGACGTTACTGAGGGGGTGGAACAAGCGAGTATATGCTATCCATAGGAGCCAATAGATGATGACAGTAGTTGGAAAGAGGTACGACAGGTTGAACCAAATCCAATTGGCAGCACTGGTACTCAGCAACATCTTGACAGCAAGTATACGTGGCGGAGTGGAAATAGTATGCAGTGATAAAAGGAGAAGAGATGCATCTGAAGTATGATATGGCAGCAATCCCTAAATTTAAACTCCCACGGCCAGCAAAATCGAGCAACGGGGAAGGCTCCAAGTTGTCGAAGCTCGAGACCTCCATATTTCCCCCACAACTCCGCTCACTTGGTCTCGTTTGAGTGGAACTGGTGTCTAGTTGTGGAGAGGAAATCTCGCAAGCTGTTTATCTTCCAAGGATTTGTCATTAGAGTGCGGTTACCCTAGAAGATGACGGATTTTTTCTAGCTTAGCTATGGATTTTGGAGGCAAAACAATAAGAAACTGGGTTTGACTTAACAGAGAGATACTCATTAGAGAAAATACTTGGGGGGGGGGGGGGGGGGCTGTCATTGGGCATACTATTCTTGATCCATGACCTCCCAAGCACGCCTCTTCGTTCTATTATGTGTCGAAACTGGAACCTCATTTCCAATCAAGGTACAGCCCAGTTCCTCGGGTTCATTAAACTCATTCATTGTCAACTGTATCTACCGCTGCCAGTCAGAGAGACATGAGCCTAGCTATAGATCTGCGGACATAAAGCCGAAGTCGGGACAGTTCGTCACAAAGGAATTGCTGTATTTCAATCCATGAATTGATCTGATTCGCTGGATTCGGTCCACCAAGTTGTGGGGGCGGAGTTGTGGGGTGGAAAGACAATGTAGGGGATCTTCGTCTTACTCTTCGATGAGCGTGAGAGCTATCATCTAACGAGAAGTAAAAGCTATGACCAATTGCGGCCGGATGATGACCTAGTGAGTGATTGGTGTTTAAAGGGTGGAGAGAGTACTAATAGCAGTAGGGGTAGCGTCCGCTCGTATATCGCTGCTGAAAGCACACACGAATTGAATTTTCATCTCCCGACACAAACAAGTAGGAATCTCCGCAACTCCTCCATATCCGTTTCGTCGTAGCGGTCCAAGATCTTACTCTCAGCCCGAGACCTCGCATTTTCCAACCCCGAAAGAGTTTCGGCCGCATCTAGCCCCATCTCAGTGGATTCCATTCGTTCGACGAAGATTCGACAGAGCAACCAGTATTCGGACGCGTGGCGCCAGAACCCAGGCCTACGCCAATTCTCGTTGTGATAAGGCCCCTGGTCCCTTTCTACCACAATACTCAACTCTTCTTGACTACTACGAGCTTCTGTCTCAGGCTCAATGGAAATGTCGAATGAAGTGATCGAGCCTGTGTTTGACCGATCAATACCCAAGCGGCGATTCCATACCGCACGCCAATTCTTGAGACCCTTTCGAACAGGGCCAAGTCTCTGTCTCATGTCGTCGATTATTCCATTTCCCATATTGAACATAAGGACGTGAAATGCTTCCATTGGATCAAGTCAGCAAGATGGAGACCGAAGATTTGGTCCAAATTGGGACGAATACTCCAGATACTTACCAGACGTGACGGCGAAATGGTTAATATACGCTTCATGGGCGTATATATCAGCGGTGGGGGGGTCGATCTCTTCTCGACAGAAAGCCTGAATAAAGTCAAGCAACGACGAACACTTCTGTGTCTGTTTCCTTTGCGTCTTGCATAACCACCATTGAATTCCCAAGAAGCACTCTTCCGCAGAAGAGGCCTGGAAGCATCTTTCGGGGGATGCTACATCCATCCTTAACTCTCCTAAGACCATTCGTGGCGGGCAATTGTTGAAAATGACGAATGCCGTATCAATCATGAATATCCAGATGAAGGTCCTTAGGACGGTAAGTGTGGAACCAGAATATCATAGCAAACCTTACCGGATCATTTCTTCTGTTTCAATAAAGCTTTGCCAGTCGAAGTCGCCTTGCGATACGAAGCGGTAGTCTCGGTGAGCAGCCCGAGATATCCCGACATCACGGCACACCTGTCGAATCTAAGCTATATCCTTCCATTTGAGTCAATTTGTGGCATAGTTACTCACGCTGACCAAGGTCACAAAGCGCTGTCTCCTTATTCTCTTCTTGCTGCTATTGGTTCCGTTCCAATGTTGGTAAATACACATGATGCAGGCTGCTTGAAGGAGCTTGATCATGTTTCGTCGGTCAACCTCACACGGCCCGCCTTTGATTTGCTCTAACTCGTCGAAGACCAATTTCTCAACAACATTTGCCCAAAGCTTCGAGTCTGCGCAGTCCTGGGATGTTGTCGAGTGACAGGCTCCCATGATAGTCATTGCTGCAATAAGTATACTCGGAGTCCGTAGTGGGTCGAAGAGAGGTCTGTGAATTGTTGGCCAATTTGGATACCACTTCTTCCAGTATATGTCCAGAAATTTACGGAGCTGAGGAGGTGAAAAGAAATCGATGCATGATACCCCCGGAGAAGATGAGTGGTCGAATACACCAGAGCCGTCGACCTTAGGGCCGTGAGCTGATGTCTCAACTGCCTGGACAATCTCAACTGTCTTCGTCGCAAGCGGATCGTTTGCCCAAGTTTCGAGACAATCCATTATATCCGTTGCATGAACAGTAGGAAAGCCATTACCTCCCTCGAGCGCCATGTCTCCCAGAGTGTAGTGAGCGAGATTGACGGACATTGGGGTCTCTATGTATTTCTCAGGCGCAGGTAAATCACCGAGCTGAGGAAATAGTAAGTCCTCAAGGCCAACATCAATCTGGGTCCACAAGATGGATTCCTGGAGCGTAAAAGAAGAACATCCTAAAGCCGTGCCATTCTCAAAAGAATGGGGCAGAGAAAGGTCCTTTGTAAACTCCAGAAGGAACGGAAACGACCGCGCTGGATCTGCGTCCAAGTCAAACGCCGGAAGGAGCGGACAAGTGTCGAGTGGTGTTTGTACCAGAGTTCCGCCGTTCTCTGGAAGCCTTGTTGCGCTTTCTGGGGGGGTTTTGGTTACGGTATGAGGATGGAGGAAGCGGTAGACACAAGAAGTATCGCTCTTGGCACAGTTCTTGCAAGGTTGGGCATAGTCGCAGCGTCTCTTTTGGGCGGCACACCGTCGGCAGGCTCGATGCCTTGGGACTGTTGTTCTTCTGGGGCATGCTGAGAAACAGCCTTCGGAGTGTCGTTTCAGGACATCACTGCGATGCACGACGATGAGATCCGTTGAATGAAGAAGGGGGCCATGAATACACTCACCTTCGTTTGTAGCATTTCCCACATTTTGAACACTGGAAGGGAAATGTGGAATCGTCTAGGGTATTACTGTATCAGCTTCAAGTCTTCGAGCAAGGCTTCTCTGCAGCAGCCCGAGAGTGCCAGCTGTGCACATACGCGCCTGAAGATGCCTCTGGAGATGATCAGGGCGACTGTAGGTCCTGTGACAGACAGGGCACGTGGACGTCGAGTCACAAGTTGGCATTTTCAGATTATTTGTTGATTTATTTGCGTGCGCCTTACGACCAAACTTGTATCGTGCGCGAATGCATAGACCTGTCAGGTTTCCGGAAAGTGGTCGACCAGTATCTCAGAATAAATATGAGAAAGAAGGATGGACGCATTGCAATGACCTTTCGGATGTGGGAGTTTTCAAGGCTAAGGAGGCGAATGGCAACAATTCCTAGATACCGAGTACTCAAGCCGCAGCCCCCGACCCCTTTGGGGCTTGGGGTACCGAGGGGCAAGCGAACCACCAGGGGAACGAGCCAATGGCTGCAATTGGTTCCTCACAACTACCGAGATCCACCCCCACAAGTCCGCAAAGGTTGATTGGGACTCGGAGCTCGTTCAACCTGGGGTAGAGATGTTGTCACCCTCCATCCCAGACGTATCTGTCTCTTGACAGCAACGTATTCGTGTCTCGCGTCCACTGAACGTAATGTATATCAAGGCGGATGTCCTCAGGTTTGGGGACTTTTCACCTCCTTCCTCATTGTCCTGATCTGAGAAGCAACCAATACTTCGAGATGGGAGAGGCTCAGGTATCGCAACAGGAAAAGGTCCCAGCCAAACCTACCTCAGCACCAGCCCTGCGTCAACCCAATGCAGACTCGCCTATCACTTCAGGGGATCCCATTGTTCTTCCACCAGGAATCAGCTCCCAGACTTTCAAGTCTTTCACCCAACGGCTGGTAGATATCGTCGGACAGGAAAATGTAACCATCGTTTCAAAGGCGACAGACCTCTCTCAAGAGAGCTACCTGGATCCCAGTAAAGCGCATGATATGTTTCATATACTCGATGCGCAGTACTTCGTCAGCTCGGCGGTCGTTGCGCCCAGAGACGTTCCGGATGTCCAAGCGATTATGCGTCTTTGCAACGAATTTGAGATCCCAGTTTGGCCCTTCTCCATTGGCCGGAATGTTGGCTACGGAGGCGCAGCACCCAGAGTCCCTGGGAGCATTGGTATGGATCTTGGACAGCACATGAACAAGATCCTGGAGGTGAATGTGGAGGGCGCATACGCACTAGTGGAGCCGGGAGTTAGATTTTCCGACCTTCACGACTACTTGGTCGAGAATAATCTGAGGGAGAAACTCTGGATTGATGTGCCTGACATTGGTGGAGGATCGGTACTTGGAAATACTTGCGAGCGTGGGGTGGGCTACACCCCATATGGAGATCATTACAGTAAGACAACAGGCGCTGCACAGATTCAACTCTGTCGTGATAGCTGCTGACCATTCCCTATAGTGATGCATTGCGGGATGGAGGTGGTCCTGCCGGATGGCAGCCTTGTTCGCACAGGAATGGGCGCGTTGCCAAATCCTGACGCAGATCCCGGTCTGGGGCCTCATGCACAACCCGGCAACGACTGCTGGCAACTTTTCAATTACGGATTTGGGTATGCCGGTGTTGTGCCACCTGTTCATTGAATTTGTCGGAGCCGACTGTGCTAACGTGTTTTGCAGCCCATACAATGACGGTATCTTCACACAGCCTGCTCTCGGTGTTGTGGTAAAGTAAGTAGAGCTCGGATCAGCAATATTGCCACAGGCAATCCTCCCCAGCCAACTAAGCAACGACACTGACTATTTGGCATTTCCAACGGAATAGGATGGGCATCTGGCTTATGGCGAACCCAGGCGGCTATCAAAGCTATCTTGTCACGATCCCACGAGACGAAGACTTGCACCAAGCGGTTGAGATAATTCGCCCCTTGCGGGTCGGCATGGTTTTGCAAAATGTGCCCACTCTTCGTCACGTCCTCCTAGATGCTGCAGTAATGGGCGACAGGAAGACGTACAGCAATTCGACGAAGCCTCTGACCGACGCTGAAATTGACGGAATTGCCCGGAAGCTGAATCTGGGGCGGTGGAACTTCTATGGCGCTTTGTATGGCCCGCCACTGGTGAGAGAAGCCATGTGGCAGGTTGTCAAGGCTTCTTTTGGACAGATTCCAGGCGCGAAGTTCTACTTCCCCGAAGACATGCCCGACAACAAAGTCTTACAGATCCGGGATGGTACACTGCAAGGCATTCCTTCGCTGGATGAGCTCAAGTGGGTGGACTGGCTACCGAATGGAGCCCATCTTTTCTTTTCGCCCATCGCAAAGGTTTCTGGCAGTGATGCAACAGCACAGTACCAACTCACACGCCGGCGAAGCGAGGAATTTGGCTTCGACTTCATCGGCACTTTCGTCGTGGGAATGCGAGAAATGCATCACATTGTCTGTATCGTCTTTGACCGAAGAGACGAAGACTCAAAGCGTCGGGCCCACAAATTGATCAGTACATTGGTGGACGATGCTGCGAAGCGAGGTTGGGGTGAATACCGCACACATCTTGCGTTAATGGATCAAGTTGCCGCAACATACAACTTCAACGGCAATGCTCTGATGAAGTTGAATGAGACAGTCAAGAATGCATTGGACCCAAAAGGGATTCTAGCACCGGGAAAAAATGGAATTTGGCCACAGACATATGACAAGGCATCGTGGAGATTATCCCCACAATAGGGAATACATACGGCCAGAATCTCACGTCGACGAAGACATGGATGAACACGTCATCCCGTACCCTCCTACACTCCTGGCTCCTGTCGTAGATCGTCCAAGGACTACAGAGTCATTCTAACAGTTGACAAAGGTTCTCTAGCTAAGGGAGCTCCTCCTATTTAGATGTCAATACTTTATCGAGTGTCGTGGTCAATATCGTCAATTATAGGCGAGTGTCAACCCATATTGTACTATTGGGCTGGCGGTGCAGAGAACGAAGAACAAGGATAGCTAGGTTCTCTGGCGAACGAAGATATCTGCAGTAACAGACGAAGCATCGGAAACGACGGTGGACATTCGCACTCGAGTTAGGACACTGCGTGAGTTTCAAGAAAAGCGACGAGATCGACTTTTGAAGCATCAAAATGCTTTAGTATGTGGTCCTTCCCTCGAAGGAAAGGCAAAAAGGGTCTTCACACAGATTGCCCGGCCATTCAGCGGCGAAAAAGATTTGCAAGAACCAAGCACGCGCACCGCAGCCGCGTCAAACGCAGCGCATCTAGATGCCATTCTGTGAGGCTTGCACGCTCCTCAGAGAAGACGAGAAGCTGATCATCGATGAACAGCCTAACGGGAAGCTACACGCAGGCGGAGGTCGCGAAGATAGAGCGAGTTTTATCCACAAGGCTACTCGGTGGATACTCCTCCTGCAAATCAAATGGCCATATCGCTTTCAAGTCATCCTTCGATTCAGACGTCTTATTCGCACTAGACTAAGCTGGGATGTTGGTGCCGATAAAGACCACCTGGACGGCAGCGAACCTGGTCTTGTCAATCTCAACGCCCCAAGGGTCGAGAAGGTACGACTTACCCAGCTGTGGCAGCGAACACATCCGCTCTAGTAGCTTTTGTCAAGGCCAAGAGACCTACTTAGAAGGTAGCAGTAAATGCTGCAATCAAACCCAATCTGGCCGGCATTGGATGAACGATATACAGCACAACGATTGCTACCACTGGTAGTATTGAAGCAACCACTGTGCTGATGACGTCCGCGGCTCGCTCCAAATGCTCATCTTCATAATGATGGAGGTCGGCGTCCGCATTCACTTGGCTACTCTTCCGAGCCCTGCTCCGATGTCCCAGCACATTATGGTAAGGACGCAGGCATGTCTTTATCAGCGATTTTGTAATAATACTGAAATCATGAACCGGGTTGACGGATATCAAATCTTCTCTCAATTTTTCATCTTTCCAGATGGATTTATCGAGTCCCAAGAGATAGTCGTCGGGTAAGCTTGGGTCAGTGAGGTTTTTAGCTAGTATATCCACATCGATGCGCCTCGGCCTTGCCAAAGTTGTAGATATTTGGTGATATCGGAGAAGGGCATCGTCTGCGTCCCCGTGTGAGCGGGGAAGCCATATCGGTCAAAGTGAGAGCACAGACCATATCTTTCAAGCTTCTCCCTGATCTCGAGCGCCAAATTCCATTGTTCAGAGTGATTGCCCTGTGCGACAACATGTTGTAACTTCCACCAGTCCCTCGAATACATCTGTCGATCTCGCTGACCACTCTGTGCATCCATTGTGGCCTGATCACGAAACCTACGCTCTAAATTTGACAGCTCTGCCTGTCTGTAGAGCAGGTCCTGGGCTCTTAGTGCCTGAAATGATCTGAAGTTTGCAAGGCTTGGTAATGTCGCCATACGCTCAGCAATCTTCGCATAGCCTTCCATCTTTTTGGTGTTTTACGCCTCTGCGCCTCTAATCAGGCTGAGGCAAGAAGAATTGATAAGGCTTAAAAAGTTCTCAAGCGGTGCCGCCTCATAAGTGGCGCATCTCAACCAATCGTAGCTGTACTCAAGTCGCGTGCGTTTGCCATGTCCAGTTCGACAAACAATGGAGCTGAACACATGATCCCTACTAGGTATTAATTCTCGAGCAGCTTATTGCGACCACCACCTCGCTGTATTCAACCACGTCAATTTCTATATCTTCTTCATCAACTCTATGAACCCAAATCCAGGAAGCCAAATGCCGCATCTGCTCGAGTAGCTCTAGTAACTTAGCTTAATCATTACCTGTCCTCCAGCACAGCACCAAAAAGCTTCCAACAGCTCGGTCGCTCAGCACAGCCTCGCCGCTAGAATCTGCAACTAGAGTGCCAACAGTTGCCTCCTATGTACGTTATACACAAAGGTATACAAAAGTTGGCAAGCAGTATTGTTAACGGTTTCTACGACGACGTCGTTCACGAGCAAACACATTCCCACGCAGCACCAGTCGACCTCGAAGATCGAGACTACGAAATGGAGGAAGACGAATTCTACTACCTCATGCCCGGGTTCCGTCTCGATACACTCACAATACCTCGCCTGCGCGCGATCCTTATCTACCTAAATATCCCTTATCCTACCTGCGCAAAAAAGGACGAGCTACTCCGGATAATGGAAGAAGAAGTTCTACCGAAGACGAATGACATTCTTGAAGCACAAGTGAGGGCTCGGCGATTGGGCAAAGACGCCAGAGTCGTTCTCCTCGAGGAAGGTGTCATACCTAGATTCAGCCGTCCGGGTTCGTCTCCGGAGTTTGCTAAAACGTCTGCACTAGATGGCCACAGAGATGGCGACAAAAAAGGTTTATGTCTTTCTAACATGACAAATGTGGAGTCCAAAGCACGGAAAGACACTTCCAGATCTAAATCAGCGCCCACCCTTTCCACTTTCCAAAGATTCCGGGGGTCCCATTCCCAGACCTCGAAGAACACTTTCACCAACGCCATACTGGATGCTTGCAGTTTCGGGCCATGTGGAAACTTCGTGTCGACCCATTTGCTCCAAGATTTGGGCATCAGCCTGCCTCCGGACGGTGTAATTGATCTAACAATTGAAGCGGTTGAGGAAGGCCCAGTCCAGGCAGGGCTCACTTACCGGGAGCGCTTCAAAGTTACAACCAACGAGGTAGAGACCTCCTGTTGGGACGCGAATGGATTGAAGGCCGTTGGGAAGACTGCACCTTTTATACCTTGAAAGGTGGAACGAAGAAGAAAGGTAAGGCAATGCTCAGAAGTAATACTTAAAGTCAATTTCTCATGTTTGTTTGCAATAGAGGTGATGAGCCCGGCAGACCTCGCAGAACTTCAACGCCGACAGCGTCTCAGCGAGGAACTTGATTTGGAGCGTAACCAAACTGACAACCACTCTGCATCAGTCAGCCACCATGGCCCGCAGATTCCAGATAGCGGAACTCCAGCAAGTGGGCAGACTCCTTGGCAAGGTAGTCGGAGATGAAACGATCCTTCTCGCCGATACTGCTGCGTTATGGGGGTTTTTTCTTTTGGAGAACGGCAAAAAGAGTACGTCAAGGATATGTAAGGACCAACTTACTGGAATGGAACCCCCTTGTAGAATACGAATGGATATTCTGAAATACGAATTTTCGCATCAACCGAATTGCTCCAGGCAACTTGTCCGTGCGCCCAGGGGCTGATTTTTTTTACACAACCGTTGCTGCGTAGAAAAAGGAAAGGACTCTTTCGAGGGAGGGAGAGGGATGACAGAGGGGCAATCATTTTGTGGTGAATTGCGGGTCTGATACATCAACGGAGGAGGCCTCCTTACGGCGTCCGCCCGCAGGGTTGCGCGGTCTAAAAGCTCCGCAGTCAAAACTCTACGGAGACAATTCGAAGCGCAGAGACACGATAAGGTACGAGCCAATAATGTGCCTATCTAGTATCTACCTATATCTGTACGAGTAGTCCTCCGAGTCCTCCGAACAGCGAAGAATAGCGTCACTACTTGTGGGGACACACAAAGAAACTCTCGAAATGCTTGCATAGACCTATCTAGAGAGCGACCAGAGCTCGTCTATCTAAAGGCGCTGCCGTGGACGAGGAGCCGATTTCGGATCCCATGGTCAAAAGTTTCAAAGCTACAGCTCTATGAAGAACCGTGTGAAACTCGTTGGCACTGGCGCCAGATGGCAAGCGGCGGCCTAACTGCAGGGGTTTTTCCCCAAAACAAAATACTTCACCCAGCAATGTCAACTGTACTTATATCGGACACCACGTGAAGGCGCGAACGTATCGTCCCAGCTGCCGGCGGGAAGAGTTGCTTCGGGTGCTCGTGAAGGGCGATGAAGTTACCATGCAGAATGCCAAGAGAGGCTGAAACTTCTGTTCTGTAAATAGCGCGCCCCGTTCGCGGATCCCCCGGTGGCCCGGTGGCCCGGTGCCCCGGTGCCCCGTTGCCCTGTTCGAGCAGACATGAACACGGACGTTCAAGTTTCCGATCTCTGAGGGAGGTACGTTGAAGTCACACCTTGTTTGTTACATTTATATTCGTCGACTGGCAACTTTGAATCCATATGTATCCAACGAAAGACAAGCATGCTCTACAAGTGTGTAAGAGCTGCAAAGCCCGTAAGAAGCGATGCGACAAAAGGCTGCCGGGTTGTGGATACTGCAGAGCTCACGACCTTGTCTGTGAATACGAGGAGGGAGTATTACGAAGAGGGACAGCCTCCAATTATCACAACAACGAGAAATGGAGACAATGGAAACCGTCGAGATTGACAGAGCCAAACACATTAGCTGGCAACGATCGTAACGGGAGCCAAGTCCCTCCCTCCTGCTTATCCTCTGCTCTTCCGGTATTGGGAAAGGACGAGAAATTGGGTAATACAGACTGGATTCAATTCCAAGATGTCTTTAAGGTCTTTGCACTCTCACTGGACGAAGTGGCCGATCGATTCTTCAGCGGCGTTGCTACCTGGCTACCCATCATCTCTCCGCAAAGCTTTCGCAAAAGGCTTCAACAGTTCCAGGAGAAGACATACTCTCCCGAATTTTCCCTTCTCCTATTGGCCATGTCTATCATCGTCATTCACCCTCTCGAGCGCTCATCACATGCGTCTTCAATAGGCTTGGATGACATTTATCGATTCACTAAATCAACATTTGCGCATGTCCAAACAACGACTGACATCTCGGCGACAATGATACAAGCAAGTATCTTGATAGCAGCTTATGAATATGCTTGCGGAAGATTGCAAACGGCCTATATATCTATTGGAGTGTCTTCCAGGATGAGTCACGTCATCGGTCTTGACCAACATAAGCCTAAATTTGACACCGGGTACACGGATTTAGAATCCCTCGAGGGGCGAAACATATGGTGGGGTTTGATCATCTTAGAAAGGTGAGTTTGAAGTTGCATTAATTAAAAGCTGAGAGGTTGATACTCCCCACAGACAAATTCTCATCGAAGATGGAAGCCGCTTGAGATGTTCAAGGACATTCTTTCCCTCGGATGATGTTCTCCTACCTTCACTTCTCGACAGCCTGGATGAAGACGGCCGTGGACGGAACCAATGCCCCTCAACCATCCTGCCTATCGTGCGTAGCAGTAACATCGACGCATTCGGCCGCCAGGGTCAGGTAGCGCACTTTCTCGAACAGATGATGTCCGTGCTCACGAACAAGGATGAGGACGATATCAAAATTTCAGCGTTAAGAAATATCGATGATGACATGCAGCAGCTACTCGCCATCACAATGAGCGAGTATCGAGGGCCTGGGTCTCATTGTGGGGCTAACGCGACTGCCTTGAGGTTGGTGCTTTCCCCTGCTGTCATCGACGAGGTGAAGAATTTGACACGAAACAGGACACTTTACCTCATTCATCAAGCAATCTTCGAAATATCAAGTAGGTGTACGATGGCAAAGCCCATGAATGCACTAGATTCTGAGGGTTCCCGTGCTGCCATGGATGCGACTGTCAACATGATGGCTGAGGTTGCCAAAGACCACTTGACGAAAATTACAAACATCGATCGACTTCCGCCTTGTGCGGGCTACAACTTTGAGCTGTGCGTAAGGCATCTAGAAGCCCGTGAGAGCCCCTCGGGTCATGATTCACATTCAAACGGCGCTTTGAGTGATTTGAAACAAATGGTGGGCACTTTTCGACGAAGATGGCCGAAGCACGGCAGTACCACTTTGTGATTCTGTATCATCAAAGAGTACGACATGGCTACGAGGAACCTCGTAGACATGTGCAAATCGCTTGTCCTGGGCGGCTTACAAAGGCATATTCCTCTAAGCGAGTAGGGGTCCTCCTTTCCGTACACACTCAGCCACTCAACTGGTCACATTTGTAACATTGAGCTGGGCTGACTACTAACCGCTTGTGGAAATTTGGCGGCCGACAGCCCGTTGTGGAAAGCTCTTCCATTCCTGCTCCTGTCACACTGCATGACATTGAGCATGGTAGCTTCTCTGTATGACCCCTCTCCTCAGCAAGCATTCCTCATTCTTGAGGGAGTTGACTAACAGAGATCTACCCCGCAGCGATAAGTGCTTACTTCATACTTTACACAAGTTGGCGACATTAGCAAGCTCAAACGGCGAGCCTTAGACCTCTTGGCAGCAAGGGCAGGATAACTGCATGGACTTGGGGTCTAGATTCATTGAAAATGCCCGCTCTAACTGTTCTTAATCCCAGAAAAGCCAAAGGAGGCGCTGTCTTCATTCTCTCGGCGAGGGTAGCTCCATTTTCGGGCACTAATGGCTTCTCCCGCTGCTGTGGTAGCAATCCTCACTCACAGGCGCGGCAGCATCTTTCTTGAGAGATTAGCGGTCCTTGTCTCAATTGAAAGGATGCTTCTGAAACAACATCTACGTTCCTGACCACTTGGAATGTACCAGCAACTCCAGGGCAGACACAACACTAAGCACAATTTGGTTCAAAGTGCGCACAAGCGGTGATCCGGTGTATCAATGACTACCAGTTTGGCATCATCTGCCGCGGGAAAAGGAAGAAGGAATGGTTTGGAGTCCAACAACAACTCTCAAGATGGAGTGCTACTCTTCATCAATCAACACCTGATCAAAGGATCCCAAACTGTTTGTCGACCAGAGAGGAGAATTGTTGGCTCCCACGTCCAGAGGGTGATCAGAAAAAGGAAACGTCTTAGTGCAGAAATCAGACTGATGCCGGCGATATTCCCAGGAACGCGACTGGAATCCCATACCAGGCAATCAGGCTGGGCAGAGAAAAATCATCTCAACAACGGTGGTCCGACATATGACAGTAGTGGTCAACCAAAACCGTGTGCCAGAAAGCATGATTCGAGCCAAGGCTATTTTCCAATACATCAGCATCTAGAGAAAGAAGATGAGACGAATGGGAAGGAAAAGAAGCCGCTGTTACAGCCCGCACCAAAACGGCCGTGTCGATCAGGAGCAGATTTGAAGCTTGGCTGGCAGACACCGGCTGTGGAGGCCAAGCTTCTGGGATCCAACATCTTCAGGATGTTCTTTAAATGCTGTGAGTTTTGCTATCATCTTCCGGGACTGTCTTCTTAGCTCCGAAATGCACGCCATACATCTATGCTTACTCGCTTCCTTGGAGCAGACTTGGAAAACTTCACAACCGTGACCTTTTCCGCATCTACCCACGGGGAAGAACATACTCGCTGGATTATCCGAACCGCTAGAGCCAACCGGATGGTTTTCTTCGCTATCGTTGCTGCCGGTGCGTCAATCTGTGCCAGCTTACCGGAGACCATCGATTCAGAGTGTGCGACAAGCGACTACGGCAATATTCTTATGTGGCAAATATTTACAATAAAAATGGTTGCCTTGAAGCACATTCGGGACACATTCACTCGCTGTCAAGCCCAGGATTTGACCACGATACTGTATAGTGTGACGTGTCTTACCATCGCTGCGGTAAGCCACTAGTCTCCCGGAAGTCGGTCTGACGATGTTAATAACTCTAACAGATCATGGATGGAGACGAACACGCAATGAGAATCCACTCCACGGGGCTTCGACACCTTATATCATTGGTAAATTCCAGTGATATACCTCATCACGTACTCGAGATTGTGTTGTCGTGAGTCCCGAGGAACCGCTAGATTCGATGATCAACGCCAATTGACAGCATGATTACTAGAACCTACTGCCTATGCAGCACAATAAACGGAGAGAACTGCGCAGAATTGCCTTTTCTTTCAATACCCCGTACCTCACAATCCTATATGGGCGGAAATGCACGCTCAACAGCCACCAGAGTCCACCCTGCAAGATTCTAACACGACACTCCTCGCTCTTACGGCTAGTTTTGAGCAGAGGAGAAGTCCTGGTTTGAGAACTGTGATCGACAGGAGAGCTAATGGCAAAGTGGGAAAATTACACGGAGGCTTGGAAGGAGAGACGTGACGCTGCGAAGGGGAGAAATGGTCCACCAAGTTCCCCTTTTACGGCCTTGAAGGACTTTTTGACAACGAAATAGGTCTTGTATCGAACCGCGCAGCTGAAATTGGGGGACGACACCCTGCTCCAAAATCCATGAAGACGAGATACGTCTGAAGCTTCAAGCTTGACATTGCCAAAAATGCTGCTAGGTAGTATCGGATCCCAAACGCCAAAACCTCATACCTTCTCCTTGTGCGCAGCCTGGGGGTGTTCCTTGGTTCTTTTCCCATAGAGATCCGTTCCCAAGCACGGAGCGTAGAACATCGTTCCTTTAATTGAGCGCTGCAGGGTCATCGAAGCGATTACCAGCCACATGGCTACACAGGCCGCGGTCAGAACCTGGAGCTGGTATCAGCCATCACATTCTCATACAGGGATCTTCGGCCAAGGACAATGTGAACTTACGCACGAGAGAATCTTGAAGAATCTAGACTCAAGCTCTTCCCCAATCGTGATTGTTAGGAGTGTAAACACGCCTGCGTTGAAAAGAAGGAAAGAATTAGTCCACAGCGTTGGTTTCGCAACGCACATAGGATTTCAACAGCACACATACCGACAGGAAAGATAAAACCCCACCATCCCATGTTGAACGGGAATCGACCAGAGGTGGCCACCATCATCACCGCGACGATGAACCAGACGATCGAGAATCCCCAAAGAATGAGGCCGACGAAGAAGCTTATGATATAAAGCACTTCCCCTGGAGACGTCTCACTTAGATGTGGGAGGGTGTGAGTCGTCAGGAAGAGGTGTTTTGCAACCTTGCTCAACACAATGATCCTGTAACAAGATACCGTTAGCCACACACGCTGCTCGCACCACCCTTCCGGCCGAGGAAGCAAAGGTTCGCGGGAAAATACTGACGAAAACCCCGAGAGGCTTAAAGGACCGATTGGGAGGAGAAGGGAGACAATGACTTCGCGCTTCAAGGGTTTGTGCAAAGTCATTCGGAGGAAGTATATAGTTAGGGTGATCCAGGATAGCGGCGACCCGACTCCCCACAAGATGTAACTTATGACGAGAGTCCAAAGTTGATGCTGGGGGTTTGGGATGGCACCCGCGACGAGGCCTCCAGAGGTCGCGGCGATGACTACTGCGACAATGGGGATCAGGTAGAGAGCCGTCATCTCTTCCAGCTTGCCTCTTCGATGTGTCATGCTAGAGAAGGAGATCAGCAAATACCACCTCGATGGTGATGCCTGGTCATAAACACGACCAAGACATCTTTTGGAAACAGGGGGAGGCTAAATTACATGACAAAGGTCAAGTGGAAGCAGGTGGTCAGCGCCAGCACGGCAACTATCCACCACAGAACCCACGCCAATATTGCGAGACCGTGTCCCCATTCCGGTGCACACACCAAAACGGTCATGTTCACCAGAGTTGCAAGCCCAACGGGGAAGGTGGCGAGGAACAGGCTTTGGTGGGGATGTTTGAGGACTGCCAGGAAGAGACGAGGATAGAGAGTGTAGCGCAGTGTCGACAATGCCGTAAAAGTCAAGAAGAGGACGAGGTTGACGACGAAGAAAATGACAGAGATGACGCGAAGCCAGTGTCCGTTGTAGGGCAATTGGTGGAGCATGATTGATAGCACACCGGTGCTCATGGTAATGATGAACCATCTGTGTGCGTCGTGCATAAGGATGTTAGCAGACTGCCGTGTTGAAAAGGAAACGGGAAGAATGTACGAAGGAGTGAAATTTCTTATGATCCTTCGAAATCCACGATCTTGCCCATCGTCACTTGTGTGTATCTCTTTGGAGTCGTTGCTGGTTGGTAGAGTGCCATGGTCCCTAGCTGCCGCAGCAAGTGGTCCTCCCGTGTTGTTGTGTTGCTGTGAATGGGGCTCGATGACTTGAGTGTGTCCGCTTTGATCTGAAGGACTATTTGTCTTGTTTTCTTCCATCTTGAATCGATGTGAAGCGACCAGTTGTGCCGTGCTCTTGACCTTTCATCTAAAGAGAAGCAAGGAGCCAGTCGAATCTTTTATCTGCGGCTTTGCAGGTACGCGAGCACTCCCAGAACAACCTGGGCGACCCTGTTGGTACTGAAACAAAGCATATTACTCGTCGCCTGGCTTGCTGGTCTGTCCTCGCACCTATAGCAAATGAAGTCCGGCATCATTGTGGACCTGCTGCGACCCTCTGCCATCCTGTCACTCACCTATTGGCTTGAAGACTGGACAACGGACGCTGAGTAAGAGTTATGAAGGAGATACGGGCCAGGGCCAGCTCTCTGTCTGAACTGCCCTATCAGAAACCGATGCATCTACCCCTGAAAGCAGCATAGCACGGCGGGAGGCTTTGTTGGGCCAGAGCAAGTGTGCATTGGCATTGCCAAGTCGGAGGGGTTAAGCAATGATGGCATCCCAAAGACGCCGGTCGGTTTCAATTTTGTCCGTCCCAGGCATCAGACAGCGAAAGACAGACTGGTGCTTCATGGCCGTGCTGTGTCGCTCCAAGCCTCTTTGGCGACAATCATAACAACCTGCTTTGGCTTGGGTCTGTGACGCGGACGGGAAGAAGAAAGGGATATTCGCTCGCGGAAAGTAACAGAAGAATTACCAACGTCGAGGATGGGCTTCATGTGGGTTGGAGAATGAACCTGCCTGAAGCCATTGTTAATTCCGATTGGAGAGAGTTCCACTTGCACCCAAAATAGATTACGCTTTCTACATCACCCTGACCCGGGTACCTCATTTTCCTGGTAAATACCGTATATTATATGCGTCGCGTCTTTCCTCTTGTTTAGCCCAAGTCTACTCTTTATCTCGGTCGTACCTTCTCCTTGGTCTGAATCGTTCCACGGGAGACATGTCACGGGGTCAAACCGATTTTTTGGCAAGTGGGAAGGAAGGGAGTATCAAGGCATAAGAGGTCCTGATATAGAGACGAGGAACTTGGATAATTCGGAGGGTATAAGCGATTCCTTCAACGAAGTTAACTACGAAGGACCTCCTTGTGGGCGTGACGGTGGGTTATATGGAGATGCCCTTCCTCGATCCCCTGTAATGCTCTATGTTGTGTAGGCCAGAGCAAGCCAGATCATAGAGCCTTGTTACGTGATGTGTCCTTCTTTGTCCTCCCGTGACTCCATTTTGCTGAACCCTTCTTTCCCAGTCCCTCGTTGGGCCACATGAATGTCTCTGTCGTAACACTGGGTTCCCTAGAGACTCTGAAGACGAAATCTTAAAACGCTCTTTATCAAGTTACCTGAGAAGAATATGACAGCTAAGGATGTCTGCCTCAGTGATGCCAAGGCCAAGGAGATCAGAAACCAGGTGGAGACCACGCCATCAATTGATAAAATGATTCACGACATCGGACGCCGTGGGATTCGAGGCCATGACAGCCACCTCTGCCTCGACACGGTCGCCGAGATCCTTGTTGATCTTCTTGAGAATGTCTGCACAAGAGGAGAAAAATATACTGTCAGTCATTGGCAGACAATGGTGATATAACGAGTACGCCCACTTGGTTTGGGTTGGGGCGAGGGGTTAGAAAAGAGGAGCCGTTCAACAAAAAGTGACATGCACGAGAAATTAGGGCAGAACTCACCGAAGGTATTCAGTTGCACCTCCTTTCTCGCCTTGACGATACTGGCCGCAAGATTCCCAACCAGGTGATCCTGCTCCTTCTTGTCGAGCACGTTGAGCCAGAACTCGCGCGGCTGGACATAGTCGTCTGGAGTGACGACCGAGTCGAAGGCCGTGACACGTCCGACCCACTCGTTATGTTCCTGCGCTTCGTACGGCTTCGTCACGATCTGCACGACGTCCTGGTCGCCTGGGATATAGTTGGGGAGCGAGCCCAGGTTGTCGACGATGCAGGAGCCGTCGCGGATGGTCGGGTTGTAGTGGTACCTGGGCCGGTTGGCGGTGTTCTGCATGAAGTTCGCACTGACGCGGTAGCGCGCAGCGCTGCCGTAGGCGAAGAGGCGAGTTTGGAGGACTGTGAAGGGGTTTGCTTAGTACGAGCGGGGTGGTGGGATGAAGTGGACGTAGATATGGATTTGCTTACTTGGATCAGCAGTGATATCCCAGCCGGGCACGATGGACGTCGGACAGAAGGCAACCTGTTCGACCTCTTGGAAGTAATTCGTTGGGTTCTCGTTGAGAACGATCTTACCGAAGGGGATGAGAGGGTAATCCTTCTGGGATATAGTCTTGGTCGGGTCGAAGATGTTGACCGGGTACTTCTCTGCCTCGTTCGGTGGGATAATCTGCGCGCTAACTTCCCATTCGGGGAAATCTCCAGTCTTCTTGCCGTCTTCTATGGCGTTGAAGAGGGAGCGACCGAGAAAATCTGGGTCTTCTCCTGCCATTTTGGTGGCTTCTTGTCGCGTGAAGTTCTTGACTCCGTTCTTTGGCTTCATAAATATCTTCACGTAGAAGAAAGTGTTCTGATGTTTGTCAGTTGTTTTTTCGTAGATGGCATGAGTTGGGTCAATTACCGCGTCTTTAGTGAACCTGTATGTGTTCAGACTGAAGATATTAGCGAACTGATATCCTTGGGGTGTGCCTGAATCGGTGAAGATCATCAAAAGGGCGTGAAACGCTTCGGAATTAGCGTTAAAGAATTCCCAGAAGGTCGAAGTGTCGAAGATGAGGTTCTTAGGAGTACCCTTCTGCGCATGAACGAATGATGGGAATTTACCGCCATCTCGAATAGGGAAGACGGGGACGCTCAAGAAGGCCCAATCAAGATTGCCCTCATCGGTGTACAGCTTGAACGCGAATCCACGTGTATCTCGCACAGAGTCAGCCGACCCTCTGAGGCCGGCTGTCGTCGAGAAACGAGAACGAAGTTCAGTTCTCTTTCCGACGGTGCTCAGAAAGTCGGCACTCGTGAACGCCGAGATGTCCGAGGTGACTTCAAAGTAGCCCTTCGCTCCAGCGCCCTTGGCATGAACAACTCGTTCCGGAACACGTTCGTGGACAAGATGAGAGATGATCTCGATCTGGTTGATGTCTTGAAGCAGCTGGACGCCCTGCAGCTTGGCTCCGACCCGCAGGGTTGCTTGGGGATCCTTGATCGGAAGACCGCTTTCGGTTGTGTAGTAGAAGTTGGGCTAGAGGAGATATTAGTCTGAGCTGCAGTGAGAATGGACGTGGAGATGGAGAAGAGTGGTGTCGGACCTTCTTTGCTGGGGCTGTGTCACCCATGTTGACTAGAGATACTTGCCCGGCTGCTTGCCCGTTTACTTCAGAGTTAATAGCACTCATTTTCTCGACCATGGTACATCGAGAGAGAAAGTTTGCAGACGGCGAATGGGACACGAAGTTAAGTAATATATGTGAGATGCCAGCCTCGATAACCCCTTCGGTCTAGGCTTTATGAACAGTAAGCTGATTCCTCGCCCATCAAGCCAAGCTCGTATGTTCTGCACAAAAGTGCGACAGAATCATAACGGACATCCATCATCTGCGGCAGGCACAGATTAGGCCGCCCGGGCAGGGAGTTCTTGTGGAAGGCATGTGCTCCTTCTCGAATATACAATGAAGATAGAGGCGTTAGGCCCAAGCACCTGAGCTGTATTTCGGAGCGCGAAAGTGGGTTGCCTTGTCGAGGAGCCCAGATTCAGCTCGGGCGAGTGTGAGAGAAGCTCGAGATATGATTAGTGTAGCCCTGCGGTTCGCACTAAGCGAATACGGGAGATTGACACGGCGTCCCACCTCAACTTTGCGCTGACCGCAGCAACGTACAGCCTTACCGACTTTGGGGGTAGGTCCTTCGATAAGTCTCAAGCAGAAAACCATGCTGATGGCAGGTGACCATAAAGCTTCCGTAAGGCCCGACACCGTTTTCGAGGGAGCCGTTGAGAACGTTGGGTCTCTTGGTTGGAAACCTCATTTTAACGGAGGAAGGACATTGTGAGATCGAGAGAGAGGTCAGGGAAAGGAGAGGGAAACGACAGAGCTAGACCGGGGTGCGACGAGGAAAATCGCTTCCTGCGTAGTCCTTCGAGAGGGCCCTGTTCCGGGCGGCCTTAATGTTTCTAGAAATGGACCTAGCTTCAGAGAGACGCTGCCGTATGTATCTGATAACGAGTATGTCATGTGGACGTTTTGTGGGTCGGCGTTCGCTATACAGCGAGTAGGGAGGAGTCGACCGGCCGAAGGTAGAGTACACAATGAAAATGGCTGAGATCACCAGGGATACAACCTGAGCTGATCGAGGCTGAGCGATGTTGAGCCGGCCCGGGAGTGGAGTGCTAAATGCGACATCGAGGCCGCGCCGATCCCGGTATCGAGTTCGGTCAGTTTTGGTCGGATTATAGCATATTAAACTGACTTGAATTTACATGACTCCAGGCTTCGAAGAACAGTTGGGCAAGAGGCGGCTGCATTGCTGGTCGATCGAAGGATCCAAGCCAGTAGTAGCTTTGGCTTGGAAAGCGGCCCTGAGAGCGCTGGCAACTGTAACCGAGCTCATGAGCACAGAAACTCGCCCATTCCAAGTATGTAAAACACCAAAAACTAGGAACCAGCGGCCATATTAGGGGTACTCACGGCTAGGCTCACATTACTCAGGGGTGCCTCAGGGCTCACCAAGCCAAAGTCAGGATTACACCGCTGTAGCTGAGAATAGTTTAGTCATTAGTTATACTCAGTAGCAGGATACTCAGGTCTGGGAACGGAAATGGGCTTTGGAGAGGTCACGATTCGCCGCTGAGTATCGTGGTATGCTATGTGCCTGGAAGAACCCGTCGCTTAAAGGCAGCGGGGAGTGAGGCTATACGAGTACCCAAGTCATCGCGATGATGAGATTTCTCCGATGGATGAGTTGATGAGGATCATTCGGAATCTACATGGCATTTCCCCTGTGGACTCTGGGTCCATGGCTGCTATTAAAGACGTTGCGGAGTTTGCTTGGTCACTCACAGGTATCAACGGCTCCCTCGCGCAGTGTGCTCGGGGTCAAAGCGTCTTCAGAGGCATCACCACCGAATGGCCTACCTCAGTATCCTCGGACACAACTGCTTGAGGAGGGCGTAGGGACTGATTCCATGGACCATGGTCAAAACTCAAAAGGGTCAGAACCACAGGTCTATGAAGAGACTCTGTGAAACCTGGAACTGGCATCCGATGCCCTTTTTGATATTTGTGTAGCATAGTTGAGTATGCTTCGCCATACGTAGTATCTACCACAGCAAGCGGTGGCACAGCTGTTTTTCCGAAACAGGATATTTTCGCTCAGCACTGTCAACTAGTCAGTCATGACTATAGTCATCAACATAGTCAATGCGAGGCTCCGAGTGTAGAAGGAAATCTGGGTATGTCGCACTCGACTAGCTAGTCATGGCTACTAGGTTCTCAACTGACGACGCTGCAGTATCTCCTTCACAGGCCTCCCTAGCTTCCGGCATCTGTCCTGGGTTTTTAAAGCCGGGTTCTTACTGAACCACCTAGGTAACTAGTTGTCTCCTTCTCAACGTCCAACATAGCCCACGTCAAATTGCGCAAGATTATCGTGCAGCTGTGTCGCAGAATTCAAGTTTTGGACGCCACCGCCGTAGCTGCTGGTGAACAAGCCCTCAAAGGCATCCCCGGGGAGACCGAACCCAGGTCCGAGTAGTTCTTCCACAGTATCAAAGCTCAAAGGATCGTCCCACAACTGCAATGATGCCTCAGTCGTACTGTTCGTAAAGGGCCAGCCCTCAGGAGGGTCAACAATAGTAGGGTATCCGTTGTGCCTCTCAAATTCGTTCTGGAAATCTACCACCGTCACATGGTTGGCCGAGTGGTGGTCTGCTTGGTCACAGGCCTGGCTGGATTCTGAAGCGGTCTCAACATTATTGCCACGCTTGGATTCCTGGAGTATACGCTGCGCGCGTTCGAAGAGCCGGTGCATGACCCCGGCGCTCCAGTAGGTCTCGCGCAGCTTTGACAGCACGAGCATGCAGAGTTGGAGGCGATTACCAGCGAGACCGCTGACAAGAGGTTCCAAGGACTTGAAGTCGAATAGGTGGATCTGCATCGAGGGAACTAAGGCCGTGATTCTGGGCCCGATTGGTCAATCAATTAGCCATCTTGGAATACTACCTGTGTGTCGTGAAAACGAGTCGCTACTTACACCATTTGTTTTAGAAATTGGATAGCATCGAGTTCAATTAGCTTCTCTAATATATTGTTGGTACTCGCCGCTGCTGCTCTTGCTTTCATTAAAGCCGTCTTGTGCCAGACAGGCGGACCTGAAGCAGGAATGGCCGCATGCCCACCGAGGAGGTATGGTCGATAGAGTACGGTAACTGTGCCTCTGGGATGTTGTTGGCATCTTATCGTGGATTGCCCGGAAGAGTGAGACTTACTGGTAGAATAACTCGATTTGATAAGCATGCATACGAAGCAGGTCGCTGCAACCATCCGGCAACTCGTCTTTCAGAGCACATCCTTCCAACTCTTCTGCAAGGTCATCAACTGTTTCAAGGCTAGGTCGAGGGCCTTTGACGCGATAATGGGCGCGCATGATATTCCCCAAGGTATGACTTGTTCGGACGAAGCGAACCCACATTGCTGCCAAGGGTTCGCATTCTCGGGGAATGAATTTCTCGCGATAGTCGTTTGGTATCTGTTGGAGGTCCAAGAGAATATCGCCAGCAGTAGGCATCGGCACATCACAGTCCTCGTGGTGAATACGCATCGGACGGCCCTTTGCCAGTGATACCCATCGGTCCCTGACAAAGCAAGTCCACCACAGGCGCCTTGCGTGTCTTGTAAAGGACTCCGACACGGCTGGTCCACGAAAGGTCGACTGAGGATCTCGATGAAGGCCAAGATTTTGGCACAGAGAAATGGCAATACCAGTCCAATGCCATGCCCCGGTATGGTCTTGTGGATCGGTATACCAAAAACCCATCAGGATGACAGACTGGATGAGGACAAGTTTATCCGTTCCTCGGTCGAAATCATAGAGGCACTATCATGACAGGGTTAGTTGATTCGGGAGTGCGAGCTTTCGTGGTGACTGACCTTGGCCCGCTCATACATTGAGGTTTTCAGGGCACGTCGGGACGAGTAACCCGCCTTTTGTAACAGATCGGAACTCACGAACTTGATAGAAGTCAGCGATGTCCCATGGGCAGAGAGTAGCATTCTTACATTTGCAGCAGCTAAAATCATGCACCAAAATAAAAGAGGACTGATGTTATTGCGGTCGCTTTTATACTGGCTCAAGAAAGTCGCAGCATCTACGACAGGAAGGAAGAAATGGACATGTTCAAAATAGCAGCGGATGGCTTCATCTGCGACGTCATTTGAAAGCGCCTCAAAAACACCTTTGGCGCGCATGTATCCAATCTCGGAAGCCAGTCTAGGTTTTTTGTTTGAGTCTTTTGGAATATATGGTCGCGCGTCCTGTGCTTCATTTGGGTGGCAGATATCGTAGACGGCAAGGCGAGGACCACGCCTGTCACCTGAAGCACACAAATCAGCCTGTGCTTCGCCGAGTTCTTTGTCTCACCGGGATATCCCACCGATATATGAAAGCGAGGAATCGTCAGGCAATATAGCATCAACATCCTCGTCCTCATCTGGAGTAGCAACAGTTCTCACAACAGTGATTGATGCACCAACAGAGTCAGACGGTGCTACAGGACTGTGTCTATCGGAAGGACTTGGACCGGGCGCAGTCAGTTCGGCGCAGCGGTCAGTGTTCGAATCTGCAGGATCCAAAATGCGTCGCGGTCTCCGAGGCCGATGCTTCTTGCGTGGAAGCACTTCACAATTTGCCGTGGGCCCAGCCTGCTTGCAGTTGGAACATGGTATACCGGTCCGTATCACGTCACAGCGGACTTTACGACGATTGCAGGACTGGCATGCAACTCTTGAGCGTGATCGCACATTGGCGTTCGGCTGAGTTGTGTTCTGCATGGGAATATCAGGCGGCTTTGACGGTAGACGAGCAAGAGGAGATGTTTGTCTCGGGTAGAAGAGAGTGCAATTCAGCAGATTAAAGGGTGGGTGGGACCTGAGCTTCACGCCTCCGGTTAATATTTAAGAGAAGCTCGGTTGATTCGGCCCAAAGGTCAAATTCCAACAGTCTGACAAGACCTTTTCTTCAGCTTTACATCAGTATCGCAGCAAGGAATTGCGGTATTTTCAAATGACACTAATTACCGATGGCCGGTCTCCCCCAAAACTCCTCCAGAATCCGGCATCCACATATTGATTCTTCTTCCCCAGATCTCTCCCCATCCACTCTTGAACAGACACACAATCTCCTTAACCTTGCCTCATTCATGTCAGGTCATACGGTTCCTGCGGGGTGGATTTGCCGAAGGTCACTTGACGGCCTCATGAGTCGTGGGGCGAAAAAAAGATAAAGACTTCGCAGCCCGTCACAGCCAGCGCCTCCCTTGACCTTCGCTCTACATGCAACTCGACAAACATCGGTCACCATGGGCGAGCAATACCACAACGCACACTTTGCAAGTGACGAGACCATGAAAGAAAACATTGCCATCCAAGCTGAGCGCATCGATGGAATGGACACGACAAAGACTGAAGGCGATCCTTTTACGCCGGATGAAGAGAGACGTCTCGTTCGGAAGCTCGATTTCTGGTACGATATGGAGCCGGCTTGAATATCTGAGAGGATACTAACGGTATGATATCAGGCTCCTGCCTCTCATGATGACGACCTATATGCTACAGAGCTACGACAAAGGCATTATGAGCGCTGCAACCCAGTTCAACTTCAATAGCGACCTCAAACTTACAACAATCGTGGGCTACCAAGCGGACGGCAAACCTATCACAAATAATCAGAAGTACTCAAACGCGTCCATGATATTCTACATTGGCTACCTAGTTGGGACGTATCCCATGATGTACCTGTCTCAACATTATCCCACCTCTAGAGTCCTTTCTCTGGCCACATGTCTCTGGGGCGCAGTCCTCATGTCGACAGCAGGCTGCTCGAACTATGCGGGTATCATGCTCAATCGCTTCTTTCTCGGCTTTCTCGAGTCTACGGTTGCTCCGGCATTCACGGTCTTTGTTACCTTCTGGTGGACTCGTGATGAACAGGCCCTTAGAACCAGTCTTTGGTACAGCTGTGTGGGTGTGGCTACAACCATTTCACCCTTGATAAACTACGGCCTAGGCCAGATCAACACCTCGATGGCTCGTTGGAAACCCATGTTCTTGATTTTGGGCGCCGTGACCTTGGTCTGGTCAGTCGTTTTGTTCTTTGCGCTTCCAGACAGTCCCCTGACCACCAAACGGCTCACTGAATCGGAGAAGAAGATCGTTGTCCGCAGACTGGAACGAAACAACGCCGGCACCATCAGTCGCAAATTCAACAAAGGCCAGTTCCTTGAGGCATTTCGCGACTACAAGCTCTACAGCTGCACTCTCATCATTCTTCTTACTGGTGTCCCGTCAGGCGCTCTGGGAACGTTCGGTACAGTGGTTATCAATGGTTTTGGCTTCGACCACTTTGACTCGTTGGCCTTGACATGTCCTATCGGAGCCATTACTGCGATTAGTATTCTCTTCGTGGGCTTCATCACGCGCAAATGGAACAACCTCCGTTATCTGTCTATCGTCACCTGCGCTCTCATCTCCATCGCTGGAACTCTCATCTGCTGGCTTGGACCTCGGGACAATCGTGGCTTGTTGTTTGCGGGTGTCTTTCTCATTGCAGTTCAAGTCTCTGCTGGAGGTGTCGCCGTTTCCCTAGCTGCATCAAACATTGCAGGACACACAAGTAAGTCGAGAGTCTCTTCTTCATGCTTCTTGGACCTGACTTTGAGTAGAAAAGGCTACCGTCAGTGCAACAACGTTCCTCGGATACTGTGTGGGAAATGTGATTGGACCTGAGATCTTTGGCGCCTCGCCCGGACCTGTTTACCACGCAGGCTTTATGGGAAGCTGTATCTGCCTATGCTGCGTGGTAGTAATTGCGACGGTCACTTACATCCTACTCCGCCGGGAGAATGCAAGGAGAGACAGAGTGTATGGTGGTCTTTCCTGTCAGCACGGTATCGAAGAGGATCTATCAGACATGAAGAACCAAGAGTTTAGATATGTCCTGTAGAGAGTGTGCAAGTGATTGTCAAATGTTGGAAGTCGTGGAGGTCTGGTGGGCTATCTGAGTTCAATATCTAGGGACAACAAGAAACTATCGTACGCTCTATTCAGGTCCATTGTCTTATGGCCAATACATCCTAGCATCAGAGTGACCGCAGACTGTCATCTCATAACTTCTTGATGTACTTCTCTTGTGATTTGCTTCACCTTGACAGGCATGGAGGAGATACCGACGGTCGAGACACCCACGACGGGGAAGAGGCATTCGGTCATGTACGGCTGGGTCCTTTGGGCCGAAAGTGCCGAAAGTGCCGAAGGTACCAATCAAAGAGCTGGCGCCATTCTCAAAGTGAACTGCCGCCTTGACTTGTGACCTTTGCTTTCACATCCTTTCTCCTCTGTATTTCTACCGACATAGCTCTGATCACCCTACTTCGCAGAGCCTGACCTCCATGAAAGCCGCGACAGGCAATTTCCGTGATCTCAATTGTCTCCGACCGGATCCCTCCACCTACTCCTATGTGAGAGCTCATCTTATTTCCGGGGTAGGCTGTTCTACCTAGTCCGCTGTGGAGTAGTAAAGGGCGATTGCGGAGATGAATGTCTCTTGTGTCGACGCCGTTTAGAAGGTAAAATGAAGAGCGACAGCGGACTCCCATGCACTTGAAAAGAATTTAAATCGTATTTCGCTGCCACTTCTTGTCGCTTTGGTTGCGTCTTTCTTTTCCACCAACGCATCAATCAAACTTCAAGAACTTAAAATTAGCTGGAATGGCGCTGGGAAAACTCTTGCTGCAGGTGTGTCTGTGCACCGTCACTTTCAATATCCTGACAGCTTGGGCGCTCTCCATTGCTCCTCGGACCGAATCGAATCATCAGCCTGTGGGTTGCGGAAGAGATCTCCCGGACGGTCAGGCCGTGGGAGGGGTTACCAATGTGACAATAACAAGTGATGGGAACGGTCGGAGCTATCTTATCTTCATTCCCCCGACCTACTGCGAAGATACGCCAACCTCGCTCATTGTGTCCTACCACGGAGGCGCGCGATCCGCTGAAGACCAGCTGGAGCTGGATCTGCTCACCAGCCCGGAATTCAATAACAAGTCTATCGTGGTGTATCCACAAGGGGTCAATGTAAGGAGACTTTCAACGTTACTGGGCTTACAGAAACCAGCGATACTGAGACATTTGCAGAACACATGGCAAGGAGTGCCCGGCGTCACGACGAATGACATCCAGTTCACCAGCGATATTCTGAACGAGATCCAAAACCTGTATTGCATTGACCCTTCACGCATGTACACAACAGGAAAATCAGACGGCGCTGGCTTCTGCAACATCCTCGCGTGCGACCCAGATCTTTCGACAACTTTTGCGGCATTCGCCCCCGTCTCTGGAGCCTACTATGTAGATTCCTCGCCTTGCGTACCGACGACAGTGGATCTCCCTTGCTCGCCGGGAAGTTCTGAGATACCTTTGCTTGCTTTCCATGGCGGTAACGACACCACCATCCCATATGCGGGGGAAGAGCGCAAAGGCGAATGCCTCCCAAGCATTCCTCACTTTATCCGGGAGTGGGCGCTACGGGAAGGACTTGGGACGGGCAATATAACAACACCAGTTGCCAACGACACGGTCAAATACAGCTACGGGATGGGACATGATGCAAGCTTGGTGGCTTTGATCTTCGACGCAGATATCGGCCACGACTGGCCCAGCACGGCGCCAAATGAGGACAACCAGGTGACAGGTCATCACCCGGCAAGTTTCAATGCTACGCCAATCATCTTGGATTTCTTCCAACGTTATCGACTCCCCTGAACAGTCGGATCAGGATTGGGGGCAAAGCCACCGCCAGACTGAAATGCATACTAATTTGGTCCAGGGTACAAGGAGAAACCCTCGAACTGGTGGCCGGGACGGTCGGTCATTCTAATGTACTCTTAGTTTCCATTCTCTCGCACAAACTCGGCAATTCTTTCTTCATCTGCAATAAAGTGCTTGCCTTGGTTATTGAGATATTTGCCGTGCCTCTCCTCTTTAGCCGAAGTATCTCAGACCCACAGCTCCTTCCACCTCGAAGGGGGCAATTGCCCATCTGGCATGATCAAGCCCGAAGGGTTTACAACGTAATGGAAGAGAAAATAATTTTCCATGTCCTTCATCTCTCGAATCAAATTTGAATAAGTGAGACAGGGTGCTTTGAGATACATCAATTGTTCCACCGAGACTTGCGTGAGTGCACTAATTGCCGAAGCATTTCAGGCTTCCCGAATGCCTCCCTCCCTGACTCCCTCTCACTCCCTGACTCCCTCTCACTCCCTGAC